GCGTTTTTTCAAAATAATGCTTAATAACAAAGTTGAAATTCGATCTTCAACTATTAATATCTTCTAGAAATTTTCGACAAAAAAAAATTTCAATATTCGTCTGGTACTCCCCAAGGGAGTCTCTATCACYCCTTAAAAGGAATGACRCCAATTTTGAATCACCCTGTATAGCAAACGGATGTTATTCCGTCAACGGATTAATGTAATAAAATGATTACTAATTGTCCCAGGAAAATATCAAGCAACACACAAAGCTTGACACTGTTAGTAATTTTTGGTTTATTTTGTTCGTTTCTCTCATCGTTCTCGCTTATTACACTTATTATTTTAATACGTACAATTTTTTGCTCACAAGTCGACACCCCCTTCGATCATTTATTGGAAAAAAATATAAGTTGCAACTATACAGGGTGATTCGTAACCTTATGGACGCAGAGCAGGGGCGAGTAGAGGACCTAAAAACAAGTCGAGTTTGCATTCAAGTGTTCAGGCCCATGGTTAACGAGATACAGGGTGTTAGTTTCAAAAAATTGTTAGGTTTTTCTCTTTAACTCCTGCAGTTTATGAGATATTTTGCTCAAATATTTCACGTAGGCTAATGTTTAGAGCGTACCGACCCATAGGTAATGCGACGGGTTGTGAAAATCTACAAGGTGTTTCTTTTTCTAGAGGCATACCTTCTGTTATCCCCCAGAACTTTTTTGTGGTGCGCCACTGACTTCGACCGGGCAAATTTTTAAATTTGCTGTTCAATTTAAGGATTTTCTGATCTCTTCTAGTTTTTTCCTATCTGTCTTCGTTTTCGAGTTACTGGCACAACTATAAGTCCATGTAGGGTTCATGGGCGATTTTTCATAAATTTCCTTTTTTTTGCGTCCTTCTGTTCACATTTTTTTGTCAAAGAAATTAATTTTATAATAAATTGAAATGTTGGTTACATTTTTGTGTATTTTTATCTGGATTAGCTTACAGCCGATAAACCCCAATTTTTTTACAAACTTCTTGTTGGGTATTTCGCCTCTAAAATTTTTGTTTTTAAAAAAGACAGAATTTCCTCACGTCTTCTATTACAGATTGATAAATAGTGCTCCTATTTCGCAATAAGAACGAATTATTT